GAAAGGGGAAAAGTGGAGTTGAAGAAGGTCCTGCGGTGGGTGGCGTTTTCCCATCAAACAATAAAACTCCGTCGTTTGAAAGTCCCTTATCCCGTCGAAGTGCTCGACAAAGCTTGTAATTCTTGAGACAAAACTTATACACTTTTGCGTTTCGACTTGGTCCATAAATGTCATTAGAGTTGCAAACTTTTGAATTTTCCTCAAATAGAGTTCAACGATAATTGGTAGGGAACGGGTTCTTTATCGGGATTTTTGTGCTTTGAGTGTTATTCACTGGTCGTCTTTTTTCGGTGGGAAAGTTAGAAATAATGTGTTTTGAATGACAAATCTAGTCGAAATGTTTTTGTCGTTTCTTAGCTTGATATTTAATAGTAAAAATACTTTAAATTTTGTCTACAAATCGGGACAAACAAAACAAATTGAAATTATTACTGTCGAGATAATAATTTTGGTATTAAATTTGTAAACGCATAATAAATTGTAACTATTTTGTTTTATTTATTGTAATATCTAAATTATTAAAATTTTATAATTAAAATTAATTAAATTATTATTGTTTTTTATCAAAACTTTTTAATAAAAATCAAGGAAAAGTTTAATGACTTTTCTAAATTAATGATTTTTTTAAAGTTACTAATTATTGGTAATATTATTATAAAATATGGTATTGTTTTTTGAAAGATATCTAATATCATTATTTAATAATATTTTTATAATATATGATATATAAAAATATTATATATCAAAAACTCAATAACATTTATTTAAATTAAGTTTATTTCATTATAATAAAATATAATAAAAATGTAGTAAAAAATATTATAAAAAAACTTTTTTTAAAGAAAAATTGTATTATAATTATATATATTTAATATTATTTTTTTTGATTATTTCCAATTTTTAGTTATAATTAAATTAAATAATTATTAAAATAATACATAATTGATAAGTAATAAAAAATCTTATGTTAAATTGTTTGATAAATAATGAATGAATTATACAAAAGATATTAACAGCAGACTCGCTTACAGAGTTTCTTTGAGTCTTTGAAGTCATTTGGCTCAACCCCGTTAATGACAAAATCCACTTCATCGTAATCAAACATATCCTCGAGGAAGGTATCCAGTTTAGCAGACTGAACTATTCTCTTAACGGAAATAGCCTTAGACAATCTTACATGAGACACTATAGTGTAGTGTGGATTTCTTGAAGACATTTTGATGGTTTAGTTCTCCAAAGCGACTTTAAATAGACCCAAACAGGGTTTTGACGTTAATTAGTTCTTCAATTAATAATAACAACCGAACGGTCAAATACTTTGAGCGATTAAAATGTTGCAATATAATCATTTCACACTGGAAAAAACAGTAATAACTTCACTTATAATTCGGGATATTTGCAACATTTTTAATTCGTTTTCCATTGGGCAAAATATGCCTTGCGGAAATTTTTGAACCTCATTTTTATTTACCATTTGATTTCCGATTATCCAAACGAAGCTTCGGAATTGACAAGTTGGCATGAGTATGCGCAATTTGTCGACAAATTGGTGACTTTTTTTAAATTCGTTTTTGAAAAGTGGGTTATTTTATAATTAGTAAATAGTTATAATTATAGTTACTGTTTTAAATAGAATTTAATTCTATTGACTAATTTGGCACAGGTTTGGTTATCTAGTTATAGCCGTAATACAGCGAATTATGTGGGAAAACGCACTTATAAACTTGAACAATCAAAAACAAAAAATCAAAACAAATATAGAATTTGCCTTCTCGGCATTATTTATAAGTTGGTACATAATGATGTTGATTATATTCATCAGTGGTAAAACGAAAAAAAGTAGGGATTCAAATTTGTTAATGGAAAGATCTAAATCAAAATGGATTTGAATGTTTAAATAAATGAATTTATTTATAATTGTTTAATAATTATTTATTAATTTCGGTACTTTTATTATTTATTTAAATGACTTGTAATGATTTAGAGTTGTGCTGTATTGGTATAATGAAGACTATATATATTATATGTATATACAATCCCGATATTTAACGCAATAATTTGCTATTAATTATTATTTTTGTTCTATTAAAAAAAACTTCCTAAAAACGCTTTTTATCATGCAAAACAAACGAAAAATAATAAAATGTTAAAATATCCTTCAAAAATATCAAATAGATAAAAAAATTTGGGTATTGTCTCAAATTTGCGTATTTTAATTTTTGAATGTTTGGGTAATTATATTTTTATTATTTCCCGTTTTATTCCAATAAAACACAAACAATTAATAACATTTCATTTATTTATTTTTACGTGCCGTCATTCACCTTTTTTGTTCAAATCTTTTTAATGACTATTCGACTTTGTTTTAGACATTTGAATATCAGACCTACTTCAATTAAATAACATTTTTTTATCATTTAAATGTTATTGGTGTTATTTCCAAAAACTTATTTCAAGTTTTTTGTTTTACAATGATGAAAATGTTATCTCGAAAATTTTGTTTTAATTTTATTAACTGGTCAAATCATGTTTGATAATACTATATACATATTAATAATTATTAGTATTATAATTTCACAATTCCAAGTATTGTATTTTATGTTTTTATTGATCAAAACCATAGAAACTTATAATTGAACCATAATATATAGAATTTGTTCTTTCTTTTTTTAATTTAGAACTCAACAAACAATTACGAATCATCATTTTTACTTTCTTACTTATTTTAGTCTCCAATTTAGATTCGAACATTAAATAAAAACCTACCACAACTCCGGGAAAAATGCCGAGAAAAGATCCGTCAAAAAACTTTTCTGCTTTCATAAATTGTTACATAAATCAAAGTAAAAAATCCGAATACTTTTCCATCTTTAATAATATACACAAAGAGATGGGAGCGAGACAAACAAGATATCAAAGGCGATCGGAACGAAGGTCGTTTCGCAAAATCGAGGTTTGTCACTCCACTTCAAAAATGCCACACATCAGCTGGGAAGACCCAATTCTCTCCACTAGTTCAACGCACATGCTATGCACACATCACAACGACCAAATCAGTATCGACTTCACTCATTATGCCACGGAAGGTGTTATTCAACCACTTGGATTGTCTCAAATGCTATTAGACTTGGGGATACACGACGTCGAGACTTTAGACGCTTTATGGGTGGCTTATATGTTTAGTGCAAAGGACTTTACTATCACAGCTGTGGAATTTAGAAAGTGCCTCGAACGATTCGGGGCGACGTCCCTTGAGAAGTTCAAAAAGATGATTCCAAAGAATCAACTCGAAGACAAAGACATCGCGAGAAAGCTATTTGTCTATGCATTTGAGTGTAACACGGGATATCGACAAACTCGTATTGAAAAGATTGACGCTATCTATTTACTCGAGTTGTTCTTTGGCAAAGAGAATCCACAAGTCATTCGCTTCATTCAATTCCTTAACTTGGAGTCTACAAAGAAACTGACAAAGGACGACTGGAATAATTTGTACGACTTCATTCAAACCGTCGATTATGAACTTTTAAATTATGACGACTCAGGTAACTCGTCGTGGCCATTAGTTTTCGACACTTATGTGGAATACACTAAACAACACACGTTATCAAATTAAACACTCAATCACTCAATATTTTATATAAAGAGAAATATTAGTGTGTTAAGATGAAGAATCTCTTTGATGTACTTTTAATTAAATTACTTTGATATTTTCATTAGTTCTTGCTAATATATTTCTATTCTAGTAAAAAATAGAAAAACATTTCTATTTTATATAATAATATATAATAAATAATAAATTATATATTATATCATTAATATATTATATTATTATAATAAAAATAATATAATAAATTTTAAGTCACAAATAATATTAGATTAGTTAGTGTGATCGTGGACGAACTTGATGAATCTCTTTGAGTATTGTTGTGGTGATACGCTTGAGACTTGATCAACGCCGCCAGCAACAGCGCCTTTCATGACCGTTTCCAGTTTTTTACGAGTTGTGTAGTCCATTAAGATGTCGATGATTCCAATGAAGTACAACTCCCCATTCAAATAACCATTAGCGTCTCTAGAGAGCAGTCCACCTTCATAATCTACAAAGATAAAGTCTTCAGGTTTTGGAATTTTTAATGATTTCAAAAAGTCTTCTGGATTCGCTACTTTGTCCTTCACCTTTTTTGAACTTGTTTTAGTCTTAGTATCTGTTCTAGCGTCAACAAAGACAGTACTTGCTCTTGGTCTGTACACTCTTTTTTCCTCCGTTGAGTTATGAGAGTTTCCTCTTTCCTGGACTTCAGAAGCTGCAGCGGTGGATGAAGAATCTGACATCTCAGAGAGGTCTTCACTTTCTTTTCTTTTTTTCGCGTTGATGACTTGAATTTTATTACCGACTTTCATGATGACTTCTTTCTTCTTGCCGTTCGTCTTTTCTTCTGTTTTCTTTTTGTCTTTCGATTTCTTCTCTTGTTTTTCCTCTTTTTCTTCTATTTTGTTTTGGGATTGTATGTCACCTGTTTGTAATTTGTCTTTGGACTCCACTTGAGGCGCTTCAATCTCTTTTTCTTGTTGAGTTTTAATTTGTGGTACACTTTCGTACTTCTTTAAATCCGGGCGTGTCGTATTTTCTTCAATCTGTTCATCAACTTTAGTTTCTGACTCTTTTTCTTCTGATTTGAGTTGACTTTCTTCAAGATTTTGCTCTTGTACGTCTTGTGTGGTCTTTGAATCAATGTGTTCAACTGTGATATCTTTTGTTTCCTTTTCAATGATTTGTTCTTCTGTTTGCTGTGAATCTTCTGCTTGTTGTTTCACGTCGTTATTTGTTGCTTCATGTTCTTCTTGTTTCTCAATTTTTAAATCATTTTTGTCTTCATTTTGAGTGTCTTCTTCTTTGGAAATATCTTCAGCTTTTTTGTCTCCTTCAGAGTTCACACTTTTTGATTGACTCTCGGTTTTCTTGTCTTTATCACTCGAAGGGTCAAGTGTTTCAATCTTATTTTCGTCTTTAATACTTTTATTGTGAGTTTTTTTGTTGTGTTTGTGTTTGTGTTTGTGTTGAGACTTCTTTGAGTTCCTTTGTTTTTGTTTGTCGAGTGCATTTTTTGCTGTTTCCATTTCTGTGTCGGACAGTTGGTGGACGCCGACAAGAAGGGAGTAGTCGATGAGGTGCATGTCACTCATCAGTTCGCTGTCTTTTTCGACTTGTGTTTTGAACGCATTAACCAAATTTGGACCGATTTTGATGACCGCTTTTTGGTCGAGGAAGTCGATATCTTTGTAACATGGCGATTTCTTTCCCCTTTCATTCTCGTCAGCTTTTCTTCCATACAGTGATCCTTTCAAGTCAAATTTGAATTGTAGAGGAAATTGTGTGTTAGGAAACAAATTGTTCATCACAACGTATCGATACTCATCCCCATGTTTTGGTTTAATTCGATACATCCCATAAAATCGTGGAATTAATGTTTGTGGATTTTCTTGAATGAATGCAAAATACTTTGGCAACACTTTCACTAGGATTTTCTCTTCTCTTTTTGGTATCACTTTTAAGATGTATTTCGAATCTTTTGTAAACATAAATAACGACCCAGACTTCCCCGCTCCAATATTCGGGGGCGTCAAATTGCCATCCCCACATATCGACCGCATCATCTCTCTATCACTCACTCCAAAAAAGCGACGAATGATCGCAAATGCCATCGGTGAATACTCTTTTGCTACATACGGCTCAACACCCTTCGGCACTGCCATCTTCTTATCAATATCATCACATATGTCTCGACACTTCTCACTCACAAATTTGGTGTACTTGTACGTGTTAAACACCTCACCAACACCTTTCAATTCTTTTAACTCTTTATGACGATACACATTGTAATCATTCGTACTCACATGAACTTGCCCAAGGTAATACTTGATCTGATGCTGAATCCCTCGAATCAATGCTGTCGCTTCTTTCGACACTTCACCACCAGCTTTCACGCTTTTGTGCTCACTCTTCTTTTCTTTAACTTCTTTTCCCTCACTTGACATTCAATTCCAATTCCATTTCGAAGTTCCAAATTACCATTCATTATCGTTTTAATATTATTTTATTATAATAGTTTACTTACTGTTTTACTTGGTATTTGGGTGGTTTTTCGAATAAAGAAGCAATTATTCAGTCGATTCTATTCAATAACTATAATATTTTAGTATCTGTTTAGTATCTGTCTTTTGTTATATTTCGCTATTTTCTATATATAGAATTCTCCATTTATAGTATCTTTTAACTATTAGTATATCGGAAGTCAAAGTAATAAAGTACTTATTTTAATCCCATCTAATTACCAATAAAAACAGTACTTTGTTAAACTCCAAAACTGCAAGAACTGATTTATTTTCCTCTAACATTTGGATTTGAAATGACGCCTTGTCTTGGCATTGCCATTTGACCCTTTTCTAACAAACCAAGTTCACCCGAACATGGTTTAGACCCTCTGACTTCATTTGATTTGGCATGACCTTTACCGGAGAGTCCCATAGCGAAGGTATCTGTAGTCCCAAGTGCACCTGTATTTTTCCTCTGATCTGCACCTCCTCTGACTTGTTCATTTACTGTTCCTTTTTCTTTAGACATTTTCATTGCAAAGGCATCAGACGAGCTCAACGCTCCTGTGTTTTTCCTTTGATCCGCACCACCTCTAACTTGTTCATTCACTGTTTTATGAGCTTTTGTCTCTTTCATAGCATGACTATCTGACGCACTCAACGCTCCCGTATTCTTCCTTTGATCCGCTCCGCCATGGAAGTTCGCATTGACCAACGTCGACTTGACTTCTTTGGCTTGTCTCAGTTCCATAGTGTCACTCGATTGAAGATTCTTCCGAGTCTCTGGAGCTCCTTGGATATTTCTATTGACCAGTTCAGGGCGGTGTGTTTCTTTCGCTGAAATAGTTTCCATTGTCACAGCTGCTTGAAGGTTCTTCGGTTGGGGCAAATGGATGGTGCAATATATTTCATTAGTATCTTTCAATAGTTTATAATTAGAAACAGAAAGGGCACGATGGCATGTTTTACATTTAAAGCAGGCTTGGTGATATAACGTTCCGTTCACATTGACTGACTCCGTGACATAAGCTGTCTTCGTACAAATTGGGCATTTCTTCGACATGGTTAGTTTGTAATTTGACGTTCGACTTTTTAAGTTCAAATTATGTATTCTGTCGGTTTAGTGTAAATATCTTAGGTATTATTCCTCACATGTATACTTGTTTTTATCTAAGATTTTATTTATGTTATTGAAAAGTCAAAAGTCGTTGTTTTTAAAGTTCAATTCGTTCGTTGGAGTTTTTGTGGAGTTCTAATAAAAAAATTTAATTAAATATTCGAACAAACTTTTATTATAAATAACTATATTTAATTATAACGTAACTATACAAAATATACTAAATAGTATAGTTTGAATACTATAGTTCTTTAAATTTGCAGTTTGAGTCCAACCACCCAGTCTAAATACTTTGTAGCGCGTTGAGACAAACAGACAACACCATTGAGATGTCTCATACCCTTTTCTTTGTCAGTTGGATATAACAAATCTTTGCCGTTGATATCGCAGACTTTACCTCCGAGAGCCTCTAAGATCACTTGGACTGCAAGAGTGTCCCAAGTGCACGATTGCACTAAAGGGTGGATATAAATGTCTCCTTCGCCTCGTACTAACATCACCATTTTAGCGCCAGACCCTCCTTTATAAACGATGTTGTACTTTTCTGGGAAGCTCGTAATTTTGTCCTTCACGTCATTTCTCTGCGAGCAAACAAACGTGAAATCCTTGTTGTCAGTGCTTTGAAGAGCCTTAAGAGTCTCTTCTGGGTAACACTGGACATGATTGTCGAAGGAAATGATGATTTTATTACCGTTGAATGGTTGAGAGACGATTCCCATGAATGGTTTTCCTTTATAAGTGATACCAAGAAGGACACAGACACACTCGTACTGTTTCTTTACAAAGCAGTCAGTGCCATCCAAAGGGTCGACATAGACGACCAAATCTGAAATGGCTATTTCTCGATTATCAGTGGGATATGTGTGTTTGATGATATGAGGAAGGTCTCTCTCTGGTAATCCACCAACTGCTTTTTCCTCCCCGATGATATTGAGTGTCGGGTATTCGTGTAAAATAGTCGAAAACATATGCTTTTGGCACTGTTCATCAACTTGTGTAACTAATGACCCGTCGTCCTTCTTTTCCACGTGAAGACTATCTTTGAATGACTTGATAAAATCACTCGCATGGGAGACGGCCGTCAGCATGACATCGGCCAAATCAAAGACCGTTGTCGTCATTTGCTTTTTTGATTTTCAAGTTGCTCCCAGCATTTATAATGGACGTTTTAGCGAATAGTTTAATGAAGTATAAAATGTACTAGAATATTCAATTCATTTCCAAGCACTTTTGGAGGCTTGCAAGTGCATCTGCGAGCTTTCTGATCTTCTTAGGCTTTGTCGCTGGAGTATTTTTGAGTTGTTCTAATACCTCTTTGATCTTTAAATTCAACACTGATGTGACTTGAGTATTAATTTGGTGTTGTTTGCATTGATTAGTCTTTTGTGTTGCCTTTGAAGATGTATTTTCTTCATTTTGTTGCACTTCTTTTTCCTCAATCAATTTGTTTGGCTGTTGTTTCACACCCGCAAACTTACTTTGAATACACTCAAATATCCTTTTGTTCTCTTCCTCTTCAGAAGACGTCTCTTTAACGTCATCACTTTCAAGCGGCTTCTGCTTCTTTTCTTCCTCTTGTTCCTTCGCTTCACCCTTTTCCTCTTTTTTAGTGATGTACATTAACAAACTTTCTCCGTCTTCAATGTAGTATCTGTCATTGCATAACACGCATATACACTTTTTACCACCTCTTTCTCGCATTAAAGGTACTGTCGGGTGGACATGGCACGATGCTTGGAGCATCGTCCATCCTTGTAACAGATATTTCCCGAGTAAATTGCTGACTTGGTCCATGCTCATCTCTTTTCTATATTTTTTAGGTCTTTTTTGTATTAGTAATAGATTAATAATTAATAGTATACTATTCTATTAATAGAACCATTAGAAACACACACCAAGACTCCTAAATTACAAGAACTCGTTCACAACATTCTCCACAAAATCAATGAAGACTTCGGTACATCCAGAAGCACAAAACACAACACCAATCACTATTAAAAAGAAGCCAACGGCTTTAGTAGTTTTACTTTTGGAGACATAGACAGCCACAGTAGCTGGCAAGAAGTGGACAAAATAAGACCCCGATAAGCTCCCATTCAGTATCATTTGCTCCTTACACGTCCATATGACGCTTGAAAGAAGTCCGCTTGTGGATATTATAGAAAACACGACAACGCTTCTCCGAAGAAAGCTTGGTTTCCACAACGCAAAGAAATTGCAGTCGATGTCCTCCACCATAGTCGACACTATCGGAGGAATTTGCACAAGAAAGATGATCACTGCAATGATATTAATCGTCACAGCAGACACAAAGAAGACGGGATACTCCCTTAGTGTGAACATGAATGAACTGAATGGAATCGGGTTCGCCATTGTGAGTGCAGACCCAACACAAAATCCGTAGGCAACACCAAAGAGGAGAACTGTCGCATACGACACAAACTCCGCGGGCGTGTTCTCTCCCGTCGACTCATTTTGAAATTTGAATGGCGCAAAGATACACAAAAAGACCACATACAACGCAGACATGTCGTTAACTCCAAAGTCGTGTTGGATGGAGTGGAGGATGTCGACTTCTCGGAAGCCGAAGAAGCAAATCACTGCAATAGAAAAGATGAGTTGTATCAAGTAAAGGACAGGGAACAAGTACGCTATAATAGTTCCTACCTTCTTGCCTGTTTTTGAATGACACAAGAAGAGTAAAAGGGGATAAGAAAGGGTGTACAACACTATTCGAACACACGCATCACTCTTCCAGAGTTGACTTCGACTCGAGTTGGGAAGGGTGAAGAGTAAGTCTTGGACCGAAGTCGCACACATCGAGAAGATGAACCCAATTTGTATCACTCGATAGATCAAATCAAAGATCCGCGAGGCATACAACACCTTTTTCCCACCACAGAAACTCGAAAGGTCGTTAATTAATGTGAGGTCACAGTTCTGTTGAACTACTCGATACAAATATAATGAAATCGTCGAGATAATCACTGACATAATCGCAATGATTGGAAACATCACACCTGTGTCAACAAAGAGAAGAGGAAGTATAACAAATTCAGGTCCAATGAGGGCACGTGAAGTCGTGAAATACGTCTTAAGAAAAGTCAGCATCACACTTCGTAGAAATCTGTTCTGAAATTATCGAGTTCTTCTTTCTTCATCAAAAAATTTTTACCATTTCAAAAAATTTGAAATGGTGGAAATTTGAATTTTTTCTTCTTTTTTTGGAATTTTTTGAAACTCTTTTTCTTCACACATTTCTTGGTACTTTTTCGAGTAAAATTCTGTGGAGCCTTAATATGGTATGTAACTATATAATATAACAAAATAAACTATAATTATAGAATTTGTTTTCATGCACCAACCAAGAACCAAACTGCAAATACAGACTACATTTTGTTAAAGAATTGCATACAGTGTTTCACATTCACTCGCAGAGACCCTCACGAAGGATAGAATAGACGGTTGGTATTCTACACGGCTTACTTTCGAGTAATGCAAAGTCGTCGTAATACCCCCAGTTCATCCCGAAGTACTCTGCGACGACTCGTGTGTTTTGCCGTTCACATTTCTCTTCCAACATCGGTGTTTTTCTTCTCTCCAATGACGCTTGGTAAAATGGGACCAAGTAGTTCTTAATCAGTGGGGACCCAGCTAAGCAAAAAGGTTCTGTTTTACTCAGTGGCTGTCTGTCAGTTTATTCATGCTATACTACTTAATAATGAACTATACATGAACTAGAATTGATGGAGTGGAAGACAAACGATAGGAACAACGGAATTGATGGACGACCCCCAGTGGTCGACAATTTGAAAGTACTTTTCGTTGTAATCGAAGTCATATTCCCGTGGGAAGTCGAGTTCCTCGACACGAGTGACTTCTTCATCTTTGATCACGGAATACCACCAACGCATTGTCCTTGGGAGAACCGTCATAGTAATTTTCCACACGTGACCGGCGTCCCAACGAAGTTTTCTTTACGTGAGTCTAACAGTGAAAACAAAAGAAGAAAGAAGTGGAGAAACACACTTTGTTGTTGAGTTGTCGAAATTCACGACTATGCGCTCACCAAAGACGGTGACATAGTGAATGGAAAGGGATATCGTGATCATGTGCGGCTCAACACCTTTCATGGAATAAACAAGAGAGTGGGTGCAAAGTCAACGATCTTCACTAAAGGTCTCTTCTATTTTTAGACGCATTTTTTTATTTCACTTTTTTTCAGGGAAATCACTTAAGGAATAATCTTCAACATTTTCGTCGTTTCTCTAACTTAATTCATGCAATCAGTTAGTTTAGTGTTAAATATAATCGAAAATAAACTTGTTGGTTAAAAATTAATATTGGAGGAAAAAAACAACAAATTCAGTCAAAATAATGAGAAAGCTTCATTTGTCAAAAAACCAGAAAACGGAGATTTTTTGTTAATTCATAAATTCCATTTTTGCTCTTTTTTTCGCAAAAAAAAAATTGTGATTTTGACAAATTCTATTTATATTAATAAATTTACTAGAACATGTACCCTAGAATCTTTCTCAGAAAAAACAAGAAAAAAAGCCAAAAATTGGACAGAAATTACGGGAAGAAGTTTTCAAATCGTTTTAAGAAATACCATTTTAACTATTTATTTATAGTATAACAATATCATTATATATTAGTAAATTAATAAATAATAATAATATTAATATTATTATAATTACAAATAATTAAAAAAAACATCAACAAAAGATTCAACGAATAAATCACAAATTGTTGTCAAATGTTTTCGAATTGTAGTTTTATAAAATGTTATAAGAAATTGTAACAAAATGGAACAAAGTGGTGTGACATTATTTTCTGTTTAAAAGCGCTTAGAGCAAGGTATGGTAGTGTTCTTCCTCAAATGACTCGTCTGTTGGGGTGAACAAGAAGAAGTATAAAATGAAGAAGAATTGCATAGGAATATTAAAGAATGAATTGACCATAACTACAATGTTATAAATATTTTAATTGACAAATTTTATTAATAACACAACAAAGTAAGTAAAAAACAAACTCCCATTGATTAAGAAACTCTGTGGGTAGACTCCAATTTCCAAAAATGCGTAGAACAAAATGAATAATAAAATACCTTGTTCGACTAAATAAGGAATCAAATTTCCTTGTGTTTTAGCGAAAAATGCTGTTAAAACACTATTTAGTGCAACTACACTCAACAAAATGAATGAACAAACAGCAGTGATAACACAGAAAGTGATATACACTCCACGAATAGAAGTGTCGTCCACTGACACGGGATGGGTCCACTCGTAAATAATATAAGTTAGCATTTCTGGTATAAATACTATTAAAAAGAAGAGTGAGATACCGCCTATAATGATATAATCAAACATCCCTTTCATAATTGGGATCTTTCCTTCATGAATTGTTTTATTATTTTTGATGATATAAAACACGGTCGTCGCTATAAATAAAACAAAGAAAACACCATGAAAAATGGGGAAGACCCACGTCTCCACAATATACGAAAAGATGTCTAAAGGCGCTCCATAACACACAATTCCCAAAATGAATAATTTAGCTTCGATGGGGAATGTGGCAAGTAGTCCCTTTTTCATTAAATACACAAGTAAGAGAATACCAAGAACAAAGTTGAGTAAAAAGTTGACTGCAATGATTGTCATTTGTAAATATGACGACGCTACACCATTTGTAATCACTTTTATTGTGTCTAATTGTAACCCAACAACTGGCGGAATAGTAAGATCTATACTTTGACCGCGGCCTAATATAACATCTTCTTTCACTATTGTCGCATCATTACATACCATGTCTTGACACTCTACGATTACAGTGCTGTTGGTGTGTCCAATGTCTTTGCCTTGACGATAGAGGACAATGTTAAAGTTGGTAAAAAAAGCAGTCTTTCCAGTCTCGGCAGTCGAAAAGTGAAGGTCAATTCGCAGTTTCTTGTCAACAGCTGTAAATGTCGGAAGGTCATTGGTGTAATGGATACCTTCCGTGTCAAGGTTTTTGAGAATCACAAAGGATTGTTTATGACTATCTTGACACCCAAAGCCTATACCAAACATAAGTCCTAAAACTAGTATAAAAACTACCGGAATAACGATTTTCTCCCACAAACGTAGGTATTTAATTCTAATATAATTCGCCATATGTTTTTTAGTTCTAATCTATTTAGTCTTTTTCGAAATTCGTTCATTTTTATTTGAAAACATTTGTCGGCGTTTTTTTGATTTTCGAATGGTTCCATGTTCTATATTACTGGTTTTTAAAATCACTATTTTTCAATTTCAAAAGATACAAATGAGGAATAATAAAATCATATTTAAGATTTTGAACTGTTTTTTATTGATAATTGATATTTATCATTTTATAAAAAGTTTTTTTTCGATTGATAATAATTTGAAAAAAACATAAAAATTATTTAAAATTTGTCAATAAAAATTTATAGATTTGTAAATTAAATGCCACAACTTTTCAAATAAAAAACGAGTGATATAATAGTTATTTATTGATACAAATTACTATTGGTGATATATTTATTGCTTAAAATATGAAGTAATAAACACAATATGTATAATCAAAATTAGATTACTGTTATAAAATAAATGACCTAATGAAATCAATTACATTCTGTAAAGATATACTTCTGAAGATCATCACCAATTTCATCACAATCATCTTCATCTTCAACATTTGAGTATTTATCATCATAATCATCACTACACACTTTACTTATTGTATACCGTTTATTTTTGTTCAATCTTGGTAATGGAGATCCATCTTTTTGAACATTTTTAAACATCTTGTTTATGAGTAACACTTTTGAAACAAGTTCCCAAGTCTTTTTTGTGTGACTTGTATGTTCTTCTGCATATATATCCACATCTTTATTGTGTATACACGCCCAGTGCATCGTGTGGATATGTGCACTAGTAAGATATTTCCAATCATCTATCTTTTTCATTACTCGTTTTCGTAACACTTTATCAGACTCAAACGATTGTGTGTCTGTAAGAGTCTTATTCCTCAAGTTGTCGTCTGAGAACCACATTTCCGTGTATCCATAGTAATTCGTATTACTTGAAAAGAAGAAGAAGTTGTGTGTATCAGTGATGTAGATTCCTTTGATGGTGTTTGGCTCGCATATTACTTGTTTAGAATACATTGGAATACCAATATATTCCAAACTTATGTTGGAGTTGATGATTAATACAGTTGTTTCAATATGAGCAACTCTCCTATTCCGTTTTGTGTCTTCAAAATAAGAATTTGGTTCAACTGTAATAACAGACTCAGTATCAATTAATAAGCTTAATAACGGTTGTAACGGTAATTTCAAATAGGAAACAACTCCTTTTATTGTTGTATCACTTCCACACCCACTCACAGAAAGTCCATCTCCATTGCCTTGAATTGAGAGTGTTCCTTTGAAATATGGGAAAGTAATTTTGCCTGCACAGGAGATGTTTTCAATTACAACTTCAAGCAAATGCAAACATTTTGACAAATCAAGAGATACAAAGTTGGACTTTATTTTAAAAATTTTGAGGTTTTGCATTTTTGAAAAGTCGAATTTGAATAAATTAGTCGAGTCGATAATTAAAGTTGTCAATTCCTCACCACAAGAAAATACGTTTCTATGAAAACAAAAGTATCCAGTGAATTTGAAATATTGACATGCTTTTAAATTCGACGTATCTAATATCACTGGAAATTTTGGATTACTATTTAACTCGACACTTTGAGCATTTGGTAATTTGATTGTTGATATATTATTATCTACTTCGATGTTAAATAATTGTGTTACAACATTCGAAAAGTCGTACACCCCATTTCCTTTGATTTTTAAATTCATTTCTCGGTATTTTTTGTTGTAATTGTTTATTGCAATGGGGCATGATATGACATCATCAATTTTAATATTATATTTATATTCTATAACTTTAAACGCGTTGTGATTATTATAAGATATAACTGTCAAATTCTTTTCTTGTTCAAAGTGATTTCCTTCGCTATAAACAACAGCAAATTTGACCGACGGCATTCGAAAAAATTGTTCTTTCAACTTCCTTTGAAAATTGAAATTTTCTTTTGTGTAAAACACGACGTTCCATAGAAACTGCATTTCATTGAACAGTTCTAAGTTAGTAAGTGTGTCAATATTTTCAACAAACAAATGTCGCAGTTTTAAGAATTTGGGGACGTATTTGAAATCAATTAAATTGATTCTGAGAGAAACAATTTGGTCACAAAAATGTTGGTCTTGAAAAATCGAATCAGAAAGATTACAAACACTTTCTGACAAGTCAAAGAATGTGATTTGTGTGTCTTTATTCTCTGTGTATTCTTTACAAAACTGCGGTGTTTCTTTTAATGTGTTCAACTTTGGAAACACTCGTTTTAAGTAATTCATCCCACAACAAATGTTCTGTGGATTCATTCGAAGCATATCAAAAGCTGTTCTTGTGTTTTTCGAGACAAAAAGAAGGTTATTAAAAACGCTCATTCCTCGAATGTACAACAACACGTTTGCCATAAACACTGCTTCAAGTCTCGACATTTTTATTGTTTTATTTTTTTTCGTATTCCTTAAATTAAAAAGTTTGAGTCTTGACAGGTTCATTAAAACTCAATCTATTTTTGACTATTTTTTATTTACATTTATATAATTAAGAAAACTATATTTTTATTGAATTGTTACAAAACACTAAAAACTATAATAATATTAATTTTTGTTATTATTATTCTTAACAACTATAGTAATGATTGATTAGTATTTAATTTATTATATAATAGTACCATATTGGTTAATTATATACTATAATATAACTATAACGAGTTATTAATAATTGAATAAAAGTGAAACTATAATTAAAGGTTAAATAAATTACCATTGAAGTAATTTAGATTAAAAGATGAAACAATATCCATTTGTTTTTGAAAAGACTGTTTGAGGTTTTGCCACTTTTGCAATATTTTGAAATAAAGTTGTTATATTAAATCCTGTCAATGATGAACATTCCATAAATAACACTGCTTTTATTTCTTTTGCTTTATTAATTCCTTGTTCCGTAGATATCCAGTTCACTTTATTTTGTATTGGTTTCACAACCTTTTTATTCTCTTCTCTTAAATCAATTTTAGTACCGAGAAGCATTAAGGGTGTGTTAGGTGAATAGTATTCGATATTCGATTTCCACTTAGTTACTACATGTTCAAAAGAATTGACATCAACCACCGAATAGCACACCACAAAGAGATCAATTCCATTATATAACATTGGTAGTCTATTCATGTAATCGTCTTGTTCTATAACATCACACACCCAAAGTTCTATTTTTTCATTTTTAACAAAGACATTAAAACATGTCGTTTCCAATACAGTTGGTAAATAATAATTTTTAAACACTCCGAGTGAATACCTCAAAATTATTGAAGTTTTCCCAACAGTGCCATCTCCTATAAAAAAACATTTAACGAGTTTCATCTATCTTTCTATATACTTTACTTATATGAGTTATAGAGTTACTTTAACATCGAAACACCCAAGTTATTAAATAGTAAAATAAAGTAAAATAAACAAAGAACTGTGACATTATCGGTGTTACAAAAGCTCGTCGTCGTCATAGTTATTAATGAACTCCGAAGTCTTCTTAATTAAGCTGAGAGCCTTCTGTTTGATCATTTTTTCCTCGAGCGGATCCAATTCGACGATCCTTTTGATGATCTTCTTGTGTTTAAACAATTTCTTAATGATTGGTTTAGTTTTATCTTTTCGAATAGATTGGGGGATATCAAAATCAATTGGCAGAGTCGTTGGAATTGAAGTGCTATTATGAGTGATTTCAATCTTCGTTTTGTTTTGAGATGTTTCGTTGGTATCAAATTTGTGTAATGTTCTCACATTGAGTTTTGCCTCTTCCCCTAACAACTCAGTATTTTTCTCAAGACGTTCATTCACTAATTTGTCCATTTCTTCGGTTTTCGCTATTTTGAGTTTTTCGGTGGCGGTCATACTATCAATCACGTCCTGTGCTTTTTGTTGCTCGGCAATCACATCTTTTTGTAACCGTTTCCAAAGTGGGATTTTGTCGGGATTCGTTGTCATTATCGTTTTGTTATTCACTTGGACCTCTTTCGCGTCATATCTCCCCTTTTAGTTATTACTCATCTCTTCAGATTAAATTTGTTTTTCAAAATGTTTTTCTAAGTCTGAAAATTTTCGTTTGTGTGAAAAAAAAACAATTTACTAATCACAAACAAGTGTCTGCGTTCTAGTGCTCGTCTCTGCCCGCACTAAAAACCCAATCAAAAAAAGAAGCACAAATATTTTCATATATAAATTATAATTTTTAGTTTTTTAAAGTTCTTTTTCGTTTTATTGATTTCTTCCTTCTTTATTAAATAGTTTTGTATACTATTTATTTTTAACTAGTCGATTCTTTTAATAACATTTTAATAACATTTTATTATCCTTTATTTTTTTTGATCTTTAAAACTCAAAATGTTATTGAATTAAAAATTATAAAAAATGAACCCTTTCTAATCAATTAATAATTATAATTTATACTAACTTATAATATAAGTTATTATTTAACTTTACAAAAATCAAAAAAAATAAAAATACTTTTTCTATTTATATTAGAATTATTTTTTTTTTGTGACCTTTTTAAAAAATAAATTTTCTTAATTCATGAAATTTCATGTTTTTTATGATAATTATGGTATATTATTCGTTTTCTTAGCTTTGTTTTTATCGTAAGTAATTTAATCAATTAATTATCATAACAAAACGATGAAATAAGATCAACCCTTAAATTTCGTATTTTGCTCAATTTTGTGGTAGTTTTTACCTAATTTGAACAATATTTGGTAATTCCAACTTTATTTCCATATAGTTTTTCAATAGAATTTCGTTAACTTCAATATAAATTTGCTCAAACCCCGAAACATTGCGTTTGTAATGCCGTATCTCAATGTCTTTTTGTTTTTTTGGTGAGTATTTCCATCAACTCCAAAACAGTCATCGACAATCTTCAAGTGATTCTCTAAGAAAAGTCAAAACTAGTAATGATTATTTATTTTAATATTAATGAAATACTATTAAAACTTAACTTTGTTATAACTAATTTATAGAAAAACTTGAATTTTTTTCAAGTTTTTTTTCATACAAAATATCACCAATTCAAATTAAAACAAAACCAAAACTGTATCAAATTGTTTAATACATGGAATAATACTTTATGATTCAAAACCATTGATTATTCAAAAATGGATAATAACATTTTGGCAGTAACGAACGGCCGTTGTTGAAAACCTATCGACCGTAAAAATGGGCTTTTTTCATTTAAATTGTCAGGCCAGTATCCCATCAAGTCCAAGTAAAATCCCAACAATTTTGTTCCAAAATAACAAGACGAAAGTCTTGCAAAGCCCATTGAAAACCCCGTTTTTGGTAACAAACCGACACAATTGCTGCATCTTAATTTCTTGAATCAAAACTATATATTTATTATAAATAAACTATTTATAACTAATACTTCAATTTCGACAGTCGAATACCTACAAAAACCAAAAATTTAAAAGAAAAGTGAATCCCTTTTTATGACATTTTCATTAAAATTTTTAATTTTATTTTGACCCAGAAAAGTCACGGCAAAGTGGGATAACATGTAAAATGAGTCTTTTGTGAGTTTTACCTCCGTCTTCATTCAAAATGGGAAGGGTATATAAGAAAGGTGTAATTTTTGAAGGTATATAAAGGACCAACATCTTCGAAATTACATATTGTCTGAAACCAAGATGTTGGGGTTCATGGATATGGTCCGAGCAATACTTGTTGCGTTTATATTAACGTTCACCCGCGATGCGGAGGATTTGAAAATCGACGCACCAAACGAGTCGAATCAAGTAAGTCAACACGAAGTCGAGGCTTCTGAAGACGAAAGTGATTGTGAGAGTGTTGAAGACTCCTCCGAAGACGAGTTTGACGAGAACGAATTCTTCGTTGAAGAGTCTGACTATCAAGACGACTCTATTGAGACACTCAAGATGCAACAAAAAGTTGTCCACCTGTCCTTATATTCCGAACGGCTTGTCGCGCTTCACCCGATGTTCTTAAATTCGATCGAAGTGTGATGTCTTTTGTTGATTAGTATTGTTTAATTAATGTTTACTATACCTTTATAGTTTTTCAGGCTCAGAACTATACTCTCTAATATTTTAATTATTTTAATTATTTTAATTATTCAACTCATTTCGAACGAATTACCAAAGACTTGAAGGAACTCATTATATCGTCTTAATAAAAAATCTCTGAAAAAAGCAGACTTTCTCGATGTCAAGGAGCAAAGCCACGCTGATCAAAAATTACAAACCAACAGACTTCTCACACGAACTTAAACAACGGTCGATGTTTAAACAACTCAACCAGACTATCCACCACGAGGACTTCAAATTGGCGGAACAGTTCTTGATCATCGGCGGTAACGCGGAGGACGATACTCCAGAAGTCATTTATAAGTATCCGGACTTTAACATCGAACAATTCATGTACGAGATCCTTGTCGAGTTTTTGTATCCACGCGGTGTCATGAAAAGTAGAAAAACAGCCAATTCAGAGGACGAGTTACACATGTTCAAGGAGAAGGCAAAGAACTCGGCGAAACACGTCTCGAGGTTCTCGACGTTCTTTTTTACAAGTAGTATAGTCGGGTGTACTCGGTATGCTCATTGTTTGTCCCAAGCACGAATTATTCAAAAGGTTTGATGATATAGTAATATAATAGATTATATTACTATATATAATACTATATCAGTATATTATTATAGTAAATTTATAGTATATATTACTAGTTTGACAATCACTGAAAAGTAGGACGGACTGAATTACGTCGAAGATGAAATCTTTTATGTGATGCTTACACTGTCGACGCGTAACTCAGTCATCTTTTCTTTCTTAGAACAGTTGCTTGGTTTGTACTTTGTTCTGTTTTTACTTATTTTTATTGGTCGAGTAACAATGAGATGAACCAGAAACACAGAATTGGTCGACTACACCGAGTTCTATACACCTCACTGATCACTTTAAAATGTTCTTCACACTCCCATCGACATATACAGAAAAGATCTATTTAAATCCACAGGTGGACGCACTGCTGGACATCCCTTGTCATATCTGTCGATGCTTATTCCTTCGTGTGATTCCAATGGATTACTTAGTCTTATTTGTCTCAACTCTATTACTTGAAAAAAGACTCTTCATTAAATGCGAACACAAATGCCTTGTGAGCTCCCTTATAGCATTTTTGGTTGAAGCGATCTATCCCTTCCAATTTGAGTTTCCGATCATTTCAGTGCTAACGAACTCACTGTACGACTTGATGGACAGCCCTACACCATTGATTGTCGGACTCTTCGAAACACCTAAAGAAATCCCAGCGGAGAGCGTCTTGTATGACATCGACTCAAAGACACTCACGTTCTTCCCTCCATCGTTCAAGCAACAGATTCCACAATTTCCAAACGCAAATCGGGTCGTTTGTGGATTGAAGGAATCGACGAAACAAATTAGAAAGCAGCCAAACCACCCGATGTCGTATTGTATTCAGAAGCACGAGAGTGTCATTTCTCAATGTCTCAATATCATCCAAATCGAGTTGAAAAACATGGTCGTCGAGTTCGAGGACTTCTGCATCTCCTCGCGCACAGAAAACAATAGAATTGTCTCGATGTTCATGAAGACAGAGTTCATAGAATACTCCTCCAGAAAGGGTCGTGTATTCTTGAAAGAGTTCCTCCAGACCCAAATGTTCGAGAACTGGAAGACTAAAATGCTCATCGACATGGACGAGAAAAAGAACTCAAGTATATCCTCAGACGGCGGAGAGGAGACTAAAACTATTTAAACCCGTTGTACGCTTGTTGTTTCAAAGTTGTAATTCACTTCTTGAAGGCTCGACCGTGGACTCTACCTCAAAATAGAAACCATATTATTATAGTAAATTAATTATAAAATAACCATACAGTCATTACTCAAGATAGGCTCTGAACTGTGTTGTGTAGAATATAAAAGCGGAGTCTATTTCTGCATCCGAGAGTAAACAGAGACTCTCTGAATTTTGTGAAGTGCCGTGTTTCTTTTTTGAATCATCTTGAAGCAGAATTTTCATGTTTTCTTCCATTTTGGGAGTCATTTCCATCTCAAGCTTCTTGTAAATGACATCTTTGACGTATTGAATGGGGTCTTGTGTCATTTTGGAGAATGAAACATCGACGAATTGCGTTTCGGTCGACGATGTGTTGTTCACAGAATGTCTTCCTCACTTCTAAAGCTCTTCTTAAATATTTACTCAGACAAGTTAACACCGTTTTATTGAATTCTAGTAGCGCCTCTTGAGTGTTGCTCTCCATGAAAGTCATTCTGACTTGGTTAAAAACTGGGAGAAGTGACTTGAATGAATCTCTAGGGTTCCGGTGTATCCAAAGGAACTTTCCATTGGGGAAAGTAGTGAGCAATTCCTTCATATAGACGAAGTGTTGGACAGACTTCATACAGAAGTGGCTCTCACTTGGGACATTGTCTTCAATAGCCGTTGCACACATCATATCCTTCAAAAGAGTATAGCCATACGACCAATCAATTTCGTCGAAGTGTTCACGGAGTTGGTTAAGTCGAGACATAGAGCACAGACGAATGAACGACAGTCCTAAAGCGTCTAACATAAAAGTCTCTTCCTCTGGAGTGTTAATCGCCATTTTGTGGAGATTAGAAAAGTCGCTATTAACACTCGTCATCTGAAATATAGTTGTTGCGACGTATTTGTAACGCCCATCTAAACTTGTTGTCTGTCCACCAGGAGCCAACACTTGATAAAATTTCATACCTTTTGATGTTGGATCTGCAAGAAGTAAATTGTGAAGAAAAGTCGACCCGGAACGTGGGAAACTTATAACAAAGAGAGGACAATGTAACTTCGGCTTGTTAGGGTTTTCATTGTATATTTTAGACTCCATTAGTATACGAAGACGAGTGGCCATCTCAACACAAGATGCACGGAAATATATCGCCTGGAGGTCGGGAGATAAGTTTGGATATCCTTCTAAGTAATATGAAAAGAGTTTGTGAAAGAAGTCGCTGTCGATGACGTCTGAAAGTTGAGTCGAAAAAGTGTCATAGAGTGATGCATATGTCGTGTCCATACTTTTCAAAAAATCAATTGCACCTGCGAGTACTTTTGAGTATAAAGACTGGAGTTGAAAGGGTGTCGACATGTTGAAAATGCTTTTGACATTTCTAGTTAAATCAATAATAAACTTATTTAATTAATTTAACTATCAAAACTACAAGTTGTTATACAACAGATTTTTAGAAATTATAGAGAAATTATTTTTTTTAGAAATGATGGAATAAATAAATAAAATATT